GCAGCGATGAAGTACTACCAGGACGAGGAGTTGATGCTGAAGATCAGCCAGAAGATGGGTGGCTTGCCTGCGGAGCTGTCGCCGGTTCTGCAGAAGATTGAGGACACGGCAATGACCCTGCACGAAGCTGCCAAGAGGGGGGATCTTGCTGCTGTGAAGAGCTTCCTGGAGAAGAAGAAGCCGCTGGATTCGCAGGACTTCAAGGGAATCACTCCTCTCGGTTATGCCATCGGAGCCAACAGGATCGCCGTGGTGAAGCTTCTTTTGGACAACAGGGCAAATCCTTATGCCGTTGACAGCGCCGGGAACAGCGGGCTGCACTACGCAGCCGGCTATGGCCGCAAGGAGCTCTTGGAGTATCTCCTGAAGGTTGGTGCAAACGTGAATCAGCCGAACGCTCAGGGCATGACGCCTCTGGCTGCAGCCACGCAAAACCAGCAGGAAGCCACCATCCAGGTGTTGAAGGCGCACGGTGCGCAATGAGGCCTCTTGTGGAGTAGACTCGTGGAGTAGACGCAAGGCTTTCAAGAAATGTTTTTGTAATCTCGCGTTCTGAGCGGAAAAGCTCAGATGTGTGCACATTGAAGCAGCAGTGCTTCGTTAATCTTCACTTCCCTCAGGCCTCATGGTCTATGGAGGAAAGAGAGTGAGTGCGTTGGGGATGACCTTGAGATAGAAGGCGCACTGACCTGTTCGAGGGCTTGGACTTAGTGTTTCCATGTTCATGGCGGCGTCTATGCCCAAGCGTAGCGCACAGGGGGGTCTTGTTGTGCGCGTGCCTGGCCGGCACACTCAGAGGGTTGGGTGTCATGGCCAGTATGAGTGAAGCATTGCGTTGGGAGCACAGCATGATTCGGGCCTTTCTTGTCCTTCACGGCGCAGGTCCGCAATGTCAGGGCCAGTGGGGCAACTGGCAGTGGATGAATATGGTCCGGCCCTCAGCCCTCCGCCCTCAGCCAGCGTCTTCCGCTTATTGCAGAGATCTGCTTCGAGGAAACCCATTCATCATTTTGGAGGCCTTGCCTGGCCTGGCCTTTCTTGGCTTCGCGGTCTTGCTTTTGGATCGGCACTACAAGAGATTGTGATTTTGGGTTCCACGTTCATTTGTGGGGGAGTAAAAGGGAATCCAGATCACTGTTTGAGGAAGCATCTTGATCCACAAGGTCAATGAGTCCGGGGTGCACTTTACACCATCGTTAGTCTCAAAATAGGGCACCCCCAACAAACCGGCGATGCCTCACAGGGCCGCCGCCATGCAGAATATGGAAGTTTTTCTGAAGCTGAGACCGTGCAGATGTGCAACCGCAGCCTGACTTGGGGGCTCGAGTCAGTAAGCTGTCAAGGCAGGCCTCTTGATGCATGGAAGCGGAAGAGGCGGAGGCAGAAGAGGTGCCAGGCCTGGATGAGCCGGAGGTGGCTGAAGAGCTCATGGAGGTGGAAGACGGGCTTGAGCCGCTAGATGAGGCAGAGCCGGAATTCTTTGAGGCTGTAGAGCCGGAGGATGAGTTGGAGCCAGAGCAACCCGAGCTGGGAGAGGCAGAGGTTGAGGAGCTCGAGGCAGAAGCGCTTGACGAGTTCGAGGACGCGCAGGAGTTTGCAGCTCGACACGGGCAACAAATTCGGAGAGTCAGGGAAGGAAGGCCCCAGAGAAGTCCATTGAGCAAGGGAGATGTTTGTGTTTTTTTCGGATGGGGCCAGTGTTCCGGGCGGATGTTGGGCTAACAGCCTTGCAGTGTGGCCCCTTTTGCTCGGGGCCGCCATGGGTTCCAAGTCCCAGTCTGCGTCCATGGCTACCGTGGTTATTTGGTTAGGCTCAGGGATGTGAGCTTCTTAGGGCCCAAAGCCGGAAGTTGGGCACTGCATAGAGAACCTCGAGCTTTGAGAGAAGCTCAGGAAGACCTGGACCTGCTTGACCAGCCGGAGGAGCCGCCGGAGGAGCAGCCGGAGGAGCAGCCGGAGGAGCAGCCGGAGGAGCAGCCGGAGGCTCCGGCTTGGCTAACCAAGAGCTTCTGGAAAAGATGCTCGGAATGCACCGCGATGAATTTTCACTTTTGGACATCAATTCCCACCGAAATATGAAATGATGTCCCACCAAAGAGTCCTCCCATTGAGCTTCACACCCAAGATTTGCGCTTGGATACTTTTGAGGAGACCAATTCTGGTCCTTGCGCCTTCGCCAGAAGTTGCGAGCCCCCGAAGACGCAGTCTTATTCTGCCAAGAGCTTGGGCGAAGGATCGAGGAGGTGGGCTCTCCGAACCGAAGCGTCCTTGGAGAGTCACAAGCCACAGGTTCACTGGAAAAGTCCAGCAGTCCATGGCCCCTTTGAGAGGGAGGGGAACTCACCGCACCTCCGAAGCCTGGGCCCACGGAATGTCCCAAGTCTTGCCGGAGCCAGACGATCGGGAGCCGCGTAGTTTCGGTTGCGGCCCTCATGTATGTTGGAGTTGTAGACCCGCGCAGGCGCAGGGTAGCGGCGAAATGCTGGTCTTTGAAGATTTTGATATTTCCCAGAGCCTTGGCCGCAAAGCTTCACATGGGTATGGGTCAAAATTAAGCCACCAGGATATGGACCGCAGGTTTTAGTCCTGATATCCATTTACCAGGGCAACCCATTGTGGGCCCACATTTTTGACCCACAGCTTCACATTTGACCAACGCCTCATTTATGAAATCGCAGGAACGCCATTCCGTGCGAGCAGCTGGAGAGCATCTTCGCCACCATCGCCGATATTCAGATCGAGCGATTCCGCGCCTTCGGCATCCCTACGCTGGATGACACCGTGGCACTGCAGCTGGCTGGCTGGCTGCAAGGCGCGCGTGCCATTGTCTGCTGAGCGCCAGCAACTCAAGGTCTTCTTTTCTAGGGGTTGATTCCAACCATTCTTTACAACCATCGTTCTTTTCAATAACCGATCGCTGGTTTTCTCGGGGGTTCTGATGGTTTTCTGGAAAGACGGATCCCTGGAAAGAATGGGGAAGGAAGCCCTAGAACAAGCCACCCGTCGATCTTCCTCTTAATTTCTTCCTGAAGTGTCCCCTAGATCTTTGAGAATCGGGCGTGTCCCCTGTTTAATACGGGCGTGCTTTTCCCTGGGTTTAGTGGTTTGAACCAGACCACTGGGTTTGGGCCGATGGCTAGGAGTGACTTCCGAGAACGTTCCCCGGGAGCTTCACCTGAGTGACTGTGCCATCACGGCTGTGGGGTTCCGCGCGATCATGGCGCCCCGGATGAGACAGGGAGATGATGTATGTTGCATTTAGTTTGTTCCCCACATCTGTGTCCTCCTCCTTCTCCTCCTCCTCCTCCTCCTCGTCCTCCTCCTCCTCCTGATTCCTTCCGTCCTCACTCACTTGCTCACACTCACTCACTCACTCACTCACTCACTCACTCACTCACTCACTCACTCACTCACTCACTCACTCACTCACTCACTCACTCACTCACTCACTCACTCACTCACTCACTCACTCACTCACTCACTCACTCACTCACTCACTCACTCACTCACTCACTCACTCACTCACTCACTCACTCACTCACTCACTCACTCACTCACTCACTCACTCACTCACTCACTCACTCACTCACTCACTCACTCACTCACTCACTCACTCACTCACTCACTCACACACACTCACACACACTCACACACACTCACACACACTCACACACACTCACACACACTCACACACTCACACACTCACACACTCACACACTCACACTCACACACTCACACTCTCACACTCACACTCACACTCACACTCACACTCACACTCACACTCACACTCACACTCACACTCACACTCTCACACTCACACTCACACTCACACTCACACTCACACTCACACTCACACTCACACTCACACTCACACTCACACTCACACTCACACTCACACTCACACTCACACTCACACTCACACTCACACTCACACTCACACTCACACTCACACACACACTCACACTCACACACACACTCACACTCAC